TTTTTTTAACTGAGAAAGCACAGAATCCTATTGATAAATAATGGCAGGTACATTTGAATCAGAAAAAAAAAAAAACTACCAAAATGGCATAGAATTCATGCAAATGTTAAAAATTAAAATGATAAAATTGAAATTTTTTTCTATTTCTTTATTTATATATATTTAATTATTTTTAATTTTATTAGTTACAGTTTATTCACCTTGTATCCTCATGTATCTCCCTCCCACATCCCCTCCCAACCCTACCCTCCCTCCCTCTTTCCCACCCATACCCCTCCCTTAGTCCATTGATAAGGGAGGTCTTCCTCCCCTTTCCTCTGATCCTAGCCTATCAGGTCTCATCAATAGTGGCTTCATTGTCTTCCTCTGTGGCCTGGTAAGGCTGCTCCAGCCTCAGGGGAAGGTGATCAAAGTGCAGGCCAATCAGCTCATGTCAGAGACAGTCCCTGTTCCCATCACTATGAACCCCCTTGGTTACTGAACTGCCATGGGCTACCTCGAATTTTAACTTTTAAAAAATAAAGTTAATAGCAACGTTATAGAGGAACTAAGGAATCTATAATTGGAGAATTGAAATTCATTACAGAAGATAGTTGAAGAAATTATATATAGGCCAGCAGAGGACACTGTTTGTTTTTCAAAACTTGGCCCAAAGCTGACTCCTGACTCATGTTTAACTCCTGGACCAAGTTTGCTGGCCAGAATTAGAGTTCCTACCTCAGCAGTATTTCCTCAGAGCTGCTCCAGCCTTCCTGGCAGTAGAGTTGTCCTCTGGGCTGAAGAGATGCAATGTGCTACTGGTGAAGGTAACAGCAGAAGCCTCATACTGTAACAATTCCCATTTTCCCAATACCCTGAGAACACCAGAGTCCAGCAGCTTCTGTGGAGGCTGGGGATTTCTGGACATTTTAAACCATGACCTGTGTACCTTCCCCATTTCTTATCTGTCCTCCTTTCCTACCTATCTCTTCCAGGCTTCATAGACATTAAAGAGGCCTGTCTTTGGAATGGCCCCTCTCATGTCTTGACGTTTATCTAACAACTATTTCTTTTCAGGGTCTCCCCCCACACCCCATGTGGTGGTGATGCTGGGGAATGACTCTCTCCAGAAGTTGCTAATTATCCCTTTTCAACCTGGATCCAAAAGTAGCCTCAGCAAGCCTGTAAGCCTGGATTCGCCCAAAAATTTACATGTGATCTCACTGTCCTATCACTTTTCTCCTTAAATATAATATTGCTCTAGGGTTCTAGGGCTACAAGACTGAGGACAATATTGAAGACTACTGCATTCTACACTATAGTGGTGCTCAGCTCCATGAGCTACAGATGGAGAAGCAAGACATACACACACATTGGCCTGAGCCTCTTGTAAGCACTGTCCTGTCCTGTGATAGTGGGATCCAAGGACCAGGCACAGTTGTCATTCTAATGTTGACTCCCCAGAGATAAGAGGGTGAATGGAAACCTCTGCCTCCATTTGTGTTCTAGTCAGGTTCACAATGGGGAAGATATTTGTCAGCTTTTTTAATAGAAACAAATAGAGCTAAAATATTTTATTTTGTTCTTAGATATTGTCAACAGGCCTCCCAAAACAAAGAGCAGGGAAACGTGGACTTAGGTCAAGATTCCCAAAACCAAGTTCTCAGGACAAATGTGATTCAGATGCCCTAGAGAAACTAATGGCAGGAATAAGGAACAAAGATAGAAGCATGAGGGAGAAGGGGAAGGAAACAAGAGAGAGGGAAGAGAGATATATGTCCTGCCAGAGCCCTCCAGCAGAGTGGAACAGTTCTTGAGTGGGGAGTGGGGATTGAATGAAAAAGAAAAAAGCAGCACATTACACATGGGATCATTTTGAGTGGGCAATCAGTAGAAACTGTCATACTGGTTTATTCCACAATCCCTTTTAATAGTCAGAGCAAAGCACCTGATACAATGAAAGGGTTCACGGAAAGTCAAACTTGTGTACCTCTACCACCTGTCTGTGTGTGATCCTCACACAAACAAAAGGAAGTGAACTTGGCAAAACTTCTTGGCTATCCTTGTCTCCAGGTGAAGGTCAGAGTAAAACATGTTTTTTGCTGAGAGCTCACTAACAAAGCAGCCTGACAAACAAGCAACTCTCCACAATGTCCCAAAAGACAAAAGCTGCCTCTGGATAGATGAGAAGTAGATGTGGTCCATAGGCAAATGGCATTTGGAAAGGAAAAGGGGAAAACATTTTGTTAGGATGAGGTGTTTAATTTTAATTGGGCATGTTAATTAGGTGAGCCAGAGGGTGCTTTTGACTGCACGACTTCAATATTTTGATAGCCAAACCTTGTTATTCAGCCTCAGGTGGGGCAAGTGGTCAAAGAAAGAACTAGACCTTGGTGGCTAGCTAAAGGAATGTAATCCAATGGTTTTTAGCAAGGCAGAGGGAAGGGCAGAGAAGGGCAAGGGATCCCAGAGCCATGCTTGCCATGCTCATTGGCCAGAGAGCCTACAATAAGTATTCTCAGTGATATTCTTTATACAACTTAGGTCAAGTAAAGTAACTTTCCATTCATACTTTCTGACTATTGATTTATTAGCTTTCCTTTGAAGGGAAAAATCATTGGAAATTTCCATATTCATTCATATATATATGTATATATATATTCATATATATTTATATATATGAATGAATATATATATATATATGAATGAATATGGAAATTTATATATATGAATGAATATGGAAATAATTTCTTCTCTGACATTAGGTTAACATATATTTCCCTAAAGAAGGAATGATGGGATAAATCCAAATACCACTATGAAATCTCATTGCAAGTAAGTACTGTTGCAGATCTCTTCAGTCAAATGAGCTCATGCTGAAGTATAGTGAGTCCTCTACGCCTTTATAAAATGGTTATGAGAACACAGGGTAGTACCAATGTATTATGCTATGAAACATAATGTGGATCCTGGCTTTGCAGGTGCATATCAATGATCACCTGAGATTCTTCACTGAAAACAGGGTGAAAAGAGGGCCATAGGATGCTCATCCCAGCATGTACATTTTGGAAACATGTGATCCAGAAATTATTGTGCGATAACACATTTCACTTTGGTGAACCCACACAGTTTTTGTATGTTTTTATTGTCATCTCAGGGAATTAACAAACCAAGCAATTATTTATGAAGTATTTCTGAATTTTCACACATCTCTTTCATCATGACTCACATTGTTTATCTGCAAGGACATTATGTGCTGAGTCATTTTGGTGATTTAAAGGTACTGAATCTGGTACAATTTTTGATAATATACTTTCCCTGCCCCAATTCCTCCGAGAACCTACCATCTTCCTACCCACCCAACTTCATGTCCTTTTTCTGTTAAAGAAAACCAAATAGAAAGACAATAGAAAACAAAATCAAAATAGACAAAGCAAAAAAAGAAAGCCAATCAGACAAAATATACCAAAACAACACAAAGAGTGCATGTACACCCCTCCCCCCCCTACACAGGCACGCACTATGGAGTCTACTTTGTTTTGACCAACTACTCCTTGGCGTGAGATTTTACCTTTTCCAGAAGTTATCTATTTTTTGTTTGCTTCTTCTCACTGTTGGACATTTTATCTGCTTTGAACCTGTCTTGTCCTTGCTGTCATGGTCTCTTTGAGTCTATTTTTGAATCAATTCTGCTTTGTCTGGAAGGTGCTTTCATTGGTGTCATCAACCACCACTGTTTCATGTAATATTTCAACCTCCTCTTTTGCATATTTCTTGAACCAGGAGAAGAGAAGTTTGACAAATAAAATCTATGTATGACAGTTTCTTTAAACATGAATAACTTAAAGCATACCTGAGCAGACCACACCTGCTGTCTTTTTTTGCTCTTTCTCAATCTTGCAAATGATATCTTCTAAATTCTTTATACAACCTATGTCAAACAAAGTAACTGGATATTCATATTTTATGACAATTGTTTTATAAGCTTTCTTTTGAAGGGAAAAAACATTGCATAGTTTTAAAATGTTATGAAATTATATATATATATATATTTGGAAATAATTTCTTCCCTAACATTAGGTTAACATATATCCACTTAAAGAAGATATGATGAGATAAATTGAAGTACCACTATGTACTTGATACATTAATTCTTGCCTCAAATTTAGGGCTGTCCTCCCTTTCTGACTGTCTACGCTCTTAAAGTCCTGACAGTTAGAGATAGTATTTTTATTAGTACACATGTTTCCATGCATTTGTTTGGAGCTCATCACATAAATTCGTTCAAAATTGATCCTCTCTAATCCTTAATTAAGGACAAGTATGGACCCACTGCTTTATTCCAATGCAGTTCGTATACTTTTTGTTCTGTGTCACAATTTTCTAAAATTTTGAATCCTATTTTATCAATGGAGTTCTGTGGTATAATATTTGGGGTACTAAATACAAATCTCCAAGGATTTGTCTATATTGGTCAGTCTGCTGAAGAATTAAGTAGACAGGAAGAAAAGCTTGGTTTCTTGATAATTCTGACATGGGGCTCATGGAGAAATTTTATTTGTACTAAGTTGTGTAGGAGAATCTCCTGGATAAAGAGTTTCTCATAAATTAAAGTGTTCTTACTGTTCCCATTGATAAGAACCAAACAAAGAGAACAGATTATGTAAAAGACAGCCCGAGAAGATGTGAGTCCTCTGACCTTGATCAGAAACAGTTTTGTCATAAAAGCCTTGCAAGAAGTCATGTGAACACAGACATCATAGTCTTTAACCTGGTCAGAGGAGTTCCTATAGGTGCCACTAAAGAATGTCAGCTGAGAACACAAATATTTATTTCTTTTGATTGCTCAAGATTCAACAGTCGCAGCAGCTGGGGACAGGAAGGTCCCTTGGGCAGCCTTAGGGAGGAAGTGACACCCAGACTTTTCGTGGTACACACCTAAGGAGCTATTTGCTTGACCAATAAATATTTGCATAAAGGGCCCTATCACTTCTTTGAGAAGTATTGAAGGATAAGAGAGACCTGCACCATGTCTGTCTCAGCAGAGCTCAGTGCTGTCTGCACCATGGCCTGGACTACTCTCCTCTCCTTCTTCCTCCTTCATTTTACAGGTCGGGAGAGTCATCTGTACTCAGATCCCCAGTTCAGGGAAGCCATGTGACAGCCAGATATATTCTCCCTTCTTATCTAACCCCAGGATATAACAATATTTTCTATTTTCAGGGTCTTTCTCCCAACCTGTGCTGACTCAGTTACCCTCTGCCTCTGCTTCCCTTGGCGCCTCAACCAAGATCACCTGCACTTTGAGTAGTGAGCACAGCACCTATTACATTCACTGGTACCAGCAGCAGCCAGACAAGGCTCCTAAGTATTTGATGTGTGTTGAGAATGATGGAAGCTACAGCAAGGGGGATGGGATCCATGACCGCTTTTCTGGATCCAGCTCTGGGGCTGACCACTACTTGAGCATCTCCAACATCCAGCCAGAGGATGAGGCTGCCTACATCTGTGGTGCAGGTTATAGCATTAACGGACAATATGGTTAAACACAGTGAGCCAGATAAATGAGGAAGCAGGACAAGAACTGTTTGTGCTGTCTTGCTATCAATGCTGGCCTATGGTTGTGAAAGGAACCATGTGAAGTTCTTAGCTATCAGAATCATTGGAGGTTTCCTGTTTATTATTCAAGGGGATATATCAAAAGATTAGCAGTTTCTCCTAAACTCCTGTGGAAACAGAGGGAAAAGGCAAGGATTTTAAAGAGATGCTGCTCTGTAACTTTGAGGACTATGTAAAGTCAATTTGGTGTGTACATAGCTGAATGGGATAAGATTAATCTTCTTTAAGTGGAGCAGTGGGTCTAAGGCTCTCACTAAAGATCAGTGGAATGTCTACTTTTAGTAAGATAGCTTTCTTATCCTATGTCCTAAGAAACTCTGAAATTTTTCAATAAGCACAGTGCAATAACATTTAAGGAGGGTGTGGGAGTAACCTACTAGAGCTAGGAAAACACAATCAAAATATTTGCAAGGGCTCTCATTGTGTTTGAATGCACATGACCTTCTCCATGTCTTTTCTTCAACTCCCTCTTTACTGACTAAGCCTTCCAAGAATCTTTGAAGAAAGGTCAAAGTGTCGACCATATGCTTTACTCTCTGCAAAAATGCTTGTGTGCAATCTTGCAATTTTCCTTGAGGCCCTCCTTTTTTCCCACATCCAGGTCATCTTTAAAATCTCACCTTGGGTCTAGCCAAACTTTGGGCAGAGTGCAGGGAATCTTGTGAAAGAAAGGAGAGATAATAAGATCTGGAGGGTACAGAAGCTCTACAAGGAGACCAACAGAACCAAGAAATCTAGGTAAAGGGGGCTTTTCTGAGACTGATACTCCATCCAAGGCCCATGCAGATAACCTAGAACCCCTGCACAGACATAGCCCATGGCAACTCAGTATCCAAGTGGATATCTTAGTAAGGGGAACAGGGACTGTCTGTGATATGAACTCAGTGGCTGGCTCCTTGATCACCTCTCCCTGAGGAGGGAGCAGCCTTACCAGACCACAGAAGAAAACAATGCATCCAGTCCTGATGAGACCTGCTAGGCTAAGGTCAGATGGCAGGGGAAGTGGACCTCTGCTTTTAATGGACTTAGAGAGAAACATGGGAGGAGATGAGGGAGGAATTGTGGGATTTGGAGACATGAGAGAGGGAACTACAACTGGGATATAAAGTGAATAAATTGAAACTTATACAAAAAATAAAATTTAGTAAAAGGTTTTAAAATAACCAATCAATTTATTAAAAACCATGTGCAGAGACAAGAAAAGGAGAATTCCTATGAAGGATCCTGCTTCACAAGAATAAGGACTCATTTCTTTTGAAAGCCAACAATATTAAAATTCTTTTCCTGGAGAAGCCTCTGATGCCAACTCCTAGTGAGAAGCTCACAGCATGTCCTCCAGCCTGCTAGACATCTCTGTTGATCAGGATCCCACAGCAGCAGTTTCTGAGAGCTGCTATGGGTTCTTTTTCATTTGACCACCTTTCTGAGTCCTTACTTACAAACGGTATAACAGTTTTTCTTCCCTTTTGTGGCAAGCATGTTAACAGGACCATAAGCTGGGGTTCACATTTCAAATATACAGAAGAAAATGGGTATGTCACAGGGCTTTAAACACTCACATCCTAAAACCAGTGACATACTTCCCCCAGCAACAGCACACTTCCTCCAAACAACAGCATCTAACTTTGGAAGAGTTGAGGCTGGAGGCTTGTTCATTTCCTAGTTTTGTCCACACCTGTTCCTCTCCTTTTGCTATGCCCTTTAGCCACTTTTTCTTTTTGATTTAACTGATTTTCCTCTACATGGTTTTTTTTTTCATGCACCATAATAATGTTGCTGTGCTTTTTTGTTTTTCTTTCTTTCTTTTTCCCTTCTTTTTTTTTTTTTTTTTTATGACAGGGTTTCCCTGTGTAGCCTTGGCTGCCCAGAATTTACCTTGTACACCAGGCTGGCCTCCAACTCACAGAGGTCTGTTTGTCTCTGCCTCCCTGAGTCATGGGAATAGCCCTGGTTTTGATAGAAATGCAAGGCTCCCAAACAGGCTTTGCATCCAACAGGTCCAGATCATGCATCTAAACATTGATACTGTCTTAGAAATACCGATATGTTATGTAAACACAGAAACAAAAGCAAGAAATATGTAGCCCAATCCTGTTTGTATAACCACATTTCTATTAATAAACTTTTGTGCAAGTGTTCTAATATAGGCTTGGTCTTAATAACATTTTTAGAATTACATCATTGTTGTATATTTGAAACAAGTTTTGTAATCAGGAATATTTATAAACATATCCATGTTAAACCAAAGTTTTGAAAGTGAACCCACATATAATTTCTATTAAAAATTTTATTTTGAGTATGTTAGCACACAGGTACACATCTAGGCCTATATATGCATTTACATACATATAATTTAACAAAATGGAAAGTTAGAATTTATCACGCTGCATTTTCACATACATATTTATTAATGCTAGGTTATCTCCATGAATAGTCCTTGGTTGGAGTATGTGTCTCTGGGAAGTTCCCTGTGGTCAAATTTTCTGGTTCTGTTGCTCTCCTTGTGGGGTTCCTTTCCTCTCCAGCTCTTACTATTTCCCACTTCTTACATAAAACTCCATGCACTCTGCCCAGCAGTTGGTAATCAGGCTCAGCATCTGTTTTGATAGTCTGCTGGGCAGAGCCTTTCAGAGGCCCTCTGTGGCAGTTTCCTAGGTTGTTTCCTGTTTTCTTCTTCTTCTGATGTCCATCCTCTTTGCTTTTCAGGATGGGGATTGAGCGTTTTAGTCAGGTTCCTCTCTCTTGCTTAACTTCTTTAGGTGTACAGATTTTAGTGGGTTTATCCTATATTATATGTCTATATGAGTGAGTATATACCGTGTGCATCTTTCTGCTTCTGGGATAGCTCACTCAGGATGATCTTTTCCTCATCCCACCATTTACCTGCAAATTTCATGATTTCCTTGTTTTTTATTGATCAGTAATATTCCATTGTGTAGATGTACCACAATTTGTGCATCCATTCCTCCACTGAAGGGCATCTGGGCTGTTTTCAGTTTCTGGCTATTACAAATAAGGCTGCTACAAACATGGTTGAGCAAATGTCCTTATTGTGTACTTGAGAGTCTTTTGGGTATACGCCTAGGAATGTTATAGCTGGATCTTGAGGAAGCACTATTCCTAGTTGTCTGAGAAAGCGCCAGAAAGATTTCCAGAGTGGTTGTACAAGTTTACATTCCCACCAGCAGTGGAGGAGGGTTCCCCTTTCTCCACAACCTCTCCAGCATGTGTTGTCTCTTGAGTTTTTGATCTTAGCCATTCTGATGGGTGTAAGGTGAAATCTTAAGGTTGATTTGATTTGCATTTCCCTAATGGCTAATGAGGTTGAGCATTTCCTTAAGTGCTTCTCTGCCATTTGATATTCCTCTATTGAGAATTCTCTGTTTAGCTCTGTACTCCATTTTTTAATTGAATTACTTGAATTTTTGCTGTTTAACTTCTTTAAGTCTTTATATATACCGGATATTAGTCCTCTGTCAGATAAAGGGTTGGTGAAGATCCTTTCCCAATCTGTAGGCTATTATTTTGTTCTGAGGACAGTGTCCTTTACTTTACAGAAGTTTTTCAGTTTCGTGAGGTCCCGTTTATTGATTTTTGATCTTACAGCCTGTGATGTTGGTGTTCTGTTCAGGAAGTTGTCTCCTGTGCAAATGAGTTCAAGGCTCTTCCCCACTTTTTCTTCTAAGCGATTTTGTGTGTCTGGTTTTATATTGAGGTCTTTGATCCACTTGGACTTCAATTTTGTGCAGGGTGATAAGTATAGAACAATTTGCATCTTTCTACATGTAGACATCCAGTTAGACCAGCACCATTTGTTGAAGATGCTGTCTTTTATCCATTGAATGGTTTTGGCATCTTTGTCAAAGATCAGGTGTCCATAAGTTTGTGGGTTTATTTCTGGGTCATCTGTTCGGATCCATTGATCTGTTTCTATGCCAGTACCATGCAGTTTTTAGTACTGTTGCTTTATAATACAGCATGAGATCAGGGATGGAGACACCTCTAGAAGATTGTTTATTGTAGAGGATTGTTTTAGAAATTCTGCATTTCTTGCTTTTCCATATGAAGTTGAGATTTTTTTTCTTTCAAGATTTGTAAATAATTGTGTTGCTAATTTGGTGGGAATTGCATTGAATCTGTAGATGGCTTTTGGTAAGATGGCCAATTTTACTATATTAATATTGCCAAGCCATGAGCATGGGAGATCTTTCCATCTTTTGATATCTTCTTCTAATCCTTTCTTCACAGACTGGAAATTTTTCATACAAGTTTTTACTTTCTTGTTCAAAAGTACCAAGGTACTTTATGTCTTTTGTGGTTATTGTGAAGGGTGTTGTTTCCGTGACTTCTTTCTCAGCCCTTTTGTCTCTTGTATACAGGAGGGCTACTGATTTTTTCGAGTTAATTTTGTATCCAACCACTTTGCTGAAAGTGTTTCTCAGCTGTAGGAGTTCCCTGGTAGAATTTTTGGGGTCACTCAGATATACTATCATATCATCTGCAAATAGTGATACTTTGACTTCTTTTCTAATTTATATCCCCTTGATCTACTTTAATTGTGTTATTGCTCTAGCAAGGACTTCAAGAACTATGTTAAAGAGATACTTAGAAAGAAGGCAGCCTTGCTTTGTTCACGATTTCAGTAGGATTGATTAAGTTTCTCTCCATTGAGTTTGATATTGGCTATAGGCTTGCTGTATATTGTCTTTACTATGTTTAGGTATGTGTCTTGTATCTCTGATCTCTCCAATACTTTAAACATGAATGGATGTTGGATTTTGTCAAATGCTTTTTTGGCATCTAAGGAGATGATCATGTGGTTTTTCTCCTTCAGTTTTTTTATGTTGTGGATCACATTGATGGATTTCCATATATTGAACCACCCTCGCATGCCTGGGATGAAGCCTAATTGGTCATAGTGGATGAT